AGGAAGGGACCATAGCGGAGGATAGAAAGCTTGCGCAGGAAAGGAAGGTCCCGGCGGTTGACGGGGGACTAATCTGGTTATACAATAAACAACATTGTAATCGATGTTATAGACGAAGCCTGCTATATTGCAAACTCGTAAATATACGGATGCTACAGCTGCAAGAAGCATGAGTTACAGTTGCTTGTCTCGCATCGGAAAGCATTCTTATGGAAATGGATTAAGGAATCGAAAATTTCACTATTTCATGTTCCCCTGTACAGTAAGAATTCACGCATGTTCTCTTATATGGTATAGCTTTACTGTCCCGTCACTTGCTGGAAAATACTCTGAAGTACTCAAATAGCCAACATATTTTGAAATCAGTGGCGTCCTCAAAGGCGAATTTCCTTCACGATGGAATCAATCAAGAAAGCATACCAACGCACAATTCTTTTTTGAAATTTCGGACTTCGACTGGCTCGAATTCAGGCCACATTTTTTAGTTGTACCTACAATGAATGTTATAAGACGACGGCAGTGGCATTTACCTTTGTTATTCTGGCGCTACTGATCAGTTACTTCTATTCAGCAGCTGCATGCAAGAATATTTCGTACGCCATATTCAGATTATACATATTATTATATTGTATCTGTACACCGCACGACGTGTCGTTCGACTTCCTGTGTATGCTGCATGGGCTGTAGTGAAGTGCTTGTGAAAAAATCTCCTTAAAGCACAGAATCTATCAACAAAACGCTTTAAATTGCTTCGCGAAGTAATTCGCATGCACACTGTAATACGGTTCGATTTCAATTTTTCTATCAACTATGTACAATGGACAAAAAAGCGACACTCTCGAAGAGCAAATCAAGAAGCACGATGCTGAAGAGAGAATAGCAATCGAGTAACTTCTATGGAAACGTGCTTTGGCTGATGTCCACCCTCCCAAAACAAGATGAGGTGCATACAAAGACGAAGTTTTTGGGAGTCATCGTCACTATTATGTGGTTTAATAATATAAAGAAGAAAGCATTGAGTTATTCGGACAGCGGCTCACTATTCTTGCCAAGAGGGACTGGTCCTTGTACAAATGCAAGTTTTAAAACATACAAATGAAGGTTTAGTTTGTAAAGGAAAGAATCGTAAGTGCAGTGCAAGAAATGACAATATGCAACGAAGCCTATGGACTAGCTGTTCTAGCAAATGTTGCCACTAAAAGCCAAAGGAGAAGTTCTACGACCACAAGCACGACGGTATTCCAATAGAGCCATCGTTTGTGGATGAGTCAACTGGGAAAGAAATAAGTCAACTTTTGAGATGAGATTCTGCGGAAAATCAACACTGGGTTGCACGAGGCCTTAGCAGATAGTCACGAGGACCACGGAAGATCCACGAAAAGATCCTGCGGACGATGGCACAGTTTCAGAAGGACATGGGTATGGAACAGTTTCACAAGAGTCTATTGATCTGGATTGATATAAAGGGGTTCCAAAAGAAAAATTGAGGTTCATAAACAGCTGTGGCTTGGTGCTTAACCGGGAAAACAAATTTCGAAAAAGTAGAAAGACAAGGAATCCTTTTGGCAGTTTGAAAGTGAAATAATCAGAAGAGGTCGTAAGTGTACTGGTTATTACTGGTCCATTTCCCAATGGAAAAAAAGTGAAAGTAATTTTTTGGTTTGACTGATGCCCGCCAGTTGGGCTTCCGTTTTGCAAGTCTAAAATTTAAAATGTCTGCAAAAATAAGGAAGCGAAACCTAATAACTTGTATAGCAGGCAAATCTTCTTCGAACGTATATGGAGTGATGTAAAATCTTGGGATTTTGGCAGGAAATTTTCCTTCAAAGAAATGATTCTACGTATGGGTCAACTAATAATAATAAAGTTCTCCCCCAGTAAGAATGCATAATACCAAAATACTTTTTGTCATAACTACTGGTCAGTGGCGAGTGAAGCAAAAGCAATCGACAATTTTTGCCTGATGAATTTCTGAATATCTCCCAGTAGGCACATACTGTACGATTTCAACTACTTTCACAGCCGACTGCGACTACCGCATTTTTATTTTTTTGAACAAGTGAGAACTAACCCAATGTGGCTTCTTGCTTATATAGGGTTTGACCTCCCCGATACTTAAAGTTTGCCTTGACCCTACTGGTTTGAAACTGCTCACCTTCCATGATGTCGTGTGCTATGAAGGCCCGCCTGTAGCAGACAGCACCTATCTTGCGGAGCCACACGGCAACAATCGCTTCACCTGTATAGGGCCGCACGTCTGAGGGAAAGAAGACTCACATCTGAGGAGACCACCGGACACTGTCGCCACGATGAAAACTGCCGACAAGTACTCTTACCCCTCAGAATGCTTGAAGGTGGAGTTTACGATGAAAAGGCAGCTTACTAGAAGTCAAGATTGTGGTGGTTGGTGATCAGGAATGAAGGGAAACAGCCTAGAATCTAAGAAATGAGTTCCCTTTTCATCCGTTGATTTACGCGATGGACGTTCTTATCGGTTCTGACCTCATCAATGCTGCTCTCTGCTAGGTGACTAGAGCATGACGGCAAGGGGGTGGGCAGGCAACGGTGACCCATGCTAGGTTACCGGGGGCACATCTTTCGCCGTTAATTGCGTATTGATCCGCACCCGCACGGAATCCGCCTGTATTTCCACTAGGTGGGTTTACTTACCTCGATCCCTATCGTGAATCGTACTTCTTGAAGAACCTGTAGAGAAGGAGAGCACCTAAGATAGTAACATCATGAAGCAGGTATTCATGATCGCGTAGTATGAACCGTCGAGCAGCAGCTCCTCACCATCAATGTTATTTTTGCGGCAAACTTCATTGATTCGAAGTTTCCAATTTGTTAGAGATGAAGTTGGTTAATGGATGACGAGTTGAAATGATGAGCTACCGTTGTGAATGTGCACCATATCGGGTGCACTCCATCGATTAACGGAGTTCACCATATCACTGAACTGGAATCATGAGAAATGTGTTGATAAGAGGCCACGTTGTAGATAAAATTTTTCCAGTGGTATGGTTTATTATTACCATTGGACAACTGCTGTGTGGTGTTCACGTACTCGATTCCGAAGAAAAGTAAGTTCTCTAGAGAATACTGCGCTGAAGGGTATGGTTTAATGGATTTGTGTTGTAGCTCAAATGGCAGAGTGTGGAAAAGGATCCAACAATGAAGGCAAAAACGTACTTCGAGCTCATTACAAGGTAACGGGTGCTACGGTTACGAGGAACAGCTTCTGCCAGCAGAAAAATGACAAATCTTCCGCAGTGGCATGAAACTGTAGCTGAACGGCTTTAAGCTATTAGAATTCGAACACTACATGTTCTTAAAGTATGATGAAACTAAAGGAACACGTCGAGTGAGGGATCCTATAGGATGCAATGCTATGAGATACTGTAGCATTGCGTCAATTAGCAAGTGTGGGGCTGTCATGATATTGTCTAGCTAGCTGCACCTAATATCAACATCTCTATAAAGATTGCTGTTGGGTTGGTGAATTACTCCCTTGATGTGTGTGATCGATAGATGTAATAGTGGCAACTATATCATTCAGCCGCAAGGTTGGAGACATTAATGAGTGACAAAAGTACCCATTTTATAAAAATGGTATTGTGAACTTTATCAGGCGTTTCAAACAAGAGTATTAACAACAATCGAGGGCACGTTAGCGTCCGATGGATACAATGAAGTACGGAAAACCTCCAGAGGTCGAAAGGATGTATCATGCAATAGCACCGTTGCACACAACCGCTTGATGGTTGCGAACCTCAGTTGATGGGTAGTTATCAGGCTGTTGTGATATACATCATGTTCACTGATTTCAAATTCCTTCTCAATTCAGGTCGGGTTCACACTTCTCGGCGCAAGAGATTGGGAGTTTAGAGGATAACTGGAAGTGTACATTTTGTATGGGAAACAATGAGATAAAAAGGGAAGGCATATGCGCTTCACGAAGTAGTAGCTTGCTTGCTGAAGAAGCGAGATGTGGCGCTTCTCACGACGAAAGGTGCGCTGGTTGCTGAGCAGGACTTCGAAAGCGCTCCGCCCCAAAAGCGATCCACCCACTAGTTTAGTTGGTGATTTGGACGAGCTGCGTTGCCAGCAGCGGCACAACTGAGCAACTCGACTGGAGCACGGATTGGCGTGGTGCTACCAAACGCATTGCGGTAAACTTATGCGTCCGCTGTCTTGGCCCGTCCATCTCACACAAGGGTTCCGGTTATATTCTATGCGTTTTCTTCGCCAGTGGCGTACCATGAGCACCTCTACGCCCCTTTTAACCCACACCACAACCTGTCGCAATCACCGCGAACCTGAGGCCCGTGTCAAACACATCTTATCATAGACGGAACTGAACCCTAGGTGAGGAAGGAGACATCCTGGTGCACTGAAGTTATCATTCTTCCCAGAGTTTCTACTTTTTTTTCAGAGTTTCTATTCCTAGTCCTCCTGCGCTTATTGCTAGTCCTTGGGGGTGCCCTCGCATATTGCGGTAGCACCTCTGCCAAAAAAAGGCACGACTAGCTGATCTTAGTGAAGAAACCCAGTCTTCTGTAGTATATTCTTCCGTTTTCCCAATCAATACGTATCTCAGCTCCCAGCTGAACCTCCCAATCTTCTATGGCTTAATTTCATAATTTCCTAATCTACTATTTGCAGTATTAACGAACGTGCAGTATAGAATTAATACGATCTTCTTTTTTTGACATAAATGCATTCAGACGTTACATAATACTCAAATATTGAAGTGTAACCAACAAAATAAGCCACAATTGAGAGTATAGTGGTGAGGGGAACGAAAAGTTTTTAGGGCCCAGCCTTCACCGCCATAGAACAGCGCAGGTCTTACCACTTTCCAGCCCTGTGAGCGCTCTGAAGGAAACTATTCCAGTGGTCCCTCTCCACTTCATCCATGCAGCGTTGACCCGAGCCTTCACCGCCTGATCCACACTACCGTCGGCTGCCAGATCGCTCCCAAGGTAGCGGAAGTCCTCCACCCTTTCGATGGTCTCACCATGGCCGTCCACGATCGGCTCTGCACCCTCTTCGGAGCTCAGGAACTTGGTCTTCTTGACATTCAGCCGGAGCCCACCTTCTGCCAGGACTTTCTGCCATTTCTGCACCTTGGCTTGAAGTTCCTCTCTGCTATCCGCTATCAAGGCGATGTCGTCAGCGTAGAGGATGGTCTTCAGTGGTCCCTCCATGAGCCCCTTCACCAGGACATCTAGTGTTAGGAGGAAGAGGAACGGGCTCAGAGCTGACCCTTGGTGCACCCCAACCGTGATGTCCACCTCCTTCGTTAGGCCGTGTGGGGTGCGTATGCTGCCTTGGCTCCATCGTACATGTCCTTCACCAGAGAGATCAGGTGTTCTGGCACGTTCGTTCCCTGAGCGATCTCCATAGTACTGCTCGCGGTAGCCGGTCGAACGCCTTCTCCAGGTCGAGGAAGGCTAGGTAGCAGGGTCGGCGCTTTTCTCGATACTTCTCCATCACTTGCCTTGCGATGAAGATGGCATCCGTTGTAGACCTTTCGGGCATGAACCCGAACTGTTCCTGGGAGATCGGGACCAGCTCCCGCAGTTTCGAGTCGACCAGTCGCTCGTACAACTTCATGGTATGCGCAGTCAACTTGATCCCGCGGTAGTTGGAGCAGTCCATCGCGTCACCCTTCTGCTTGAAGATGGGGACGATAGTACTTGTTCTCCAGGCATCCGGCATCCTTCCTTCGGCAGTTACCGTGTTCAGGAAGCGGGTGAGCCACCTTACCCCGTGCTCTCCGAGCGCCTTCCAAGCCTCTATGGTACTCCATCTGGACCAACTG